TTAGTTCTTGAAGTGTCTCAGTGGAATAACAGATGCTATCACTTCACTATCAATTCAATCAGTGTCTCAGTTAGGGTTTCTGTTGCTGTGAAAAGACACCATGACCCTGGAAACTCTTATAAAGGAAACATTTAATTGGGGTGGCTTATAGCTTCAGAACTTCAGTCCATTATCATCATGGTGGGGGCATGGCAGTGTGCAGACAGACATGGTGCTGGCTACATCTTGATTAGAAAGCAACAGGAAATGGACTGTAACACTGGTGGTATCTTGAACATTGGAAACCTCAAATCCTGCTCCCACAGTGAGACAAGGCCATACCTACTTCACAAAGCCACATCTCCTAATAGTGCCACTCCTTATGAGTTTATGGGATTATGAGGGCTAATTACATTCAAACTACCACAAGTATTTAAGACTTGTGCCTTCTTAAGTGCATCCAGGTGCTGACTTGTAGCAATTGTGAGTGTGCCCCAACACAAAAAGGTATACTTCCTTAAATTATTATGAGACTTTGGGGGTACTGTTTTTTTCAAACTGAGTGTGAAACTCCCATAGGCCTTTGAAGATAGATCATGAACGGGAATAAGATATTCACAAAATATAAGTATCTGATGGAGACTGTGATCCAAAATGGGTAACAAACTGGAACAGCCCAGTAACATCAATCATGTCCTCTTTTTATGGGTAAAACATCTGAGCAGAAATATCATCAAAAAAGACATATGAGCTTCAAGAGAGCACAGAGAATGCTCCTGCCGTTGGTCATTAGGGAAGGCAGATAAAGGCCAGAGAGGCATCCTCAGTATCTGCCTGAACAGCTCAGGCTAAAGGTATCTACTGAAGAAAGCAGTATCTATCAAAAGAATTATATAAACATGTCATTTGTAGAAACAAACACATACAAGTTAGAGAACAACAACAACAACAAAACCAACTATCCCCAGCACCCACTCAGCTACTCACAATTGACTGTAAATCTCTTCTCGCTTTTGCTGGCACCAGAAATGCATGTGATACTCAGACTAATACAGACAAAAACACCCATATGCGTTGAAAAAGAAAAGGAAAGGAAAAGGAAGGAAGGAAGGAAGGAAGGAAGAAAGGAAGGAAGGAAGGGGGAGGAGAGCTAGGAGCGTGGCACATGCTTTCAGTTACTGCACTCTAGGGACAAAGGTAATTGAGCCTTTGTGAGTTTGAGTCCAGCCTGGTCTAAATAGCATATTTCAGGACAGTCAGGGCTACAAAGAGAGACCCTATCTCAAAAACCAAAATCAATAAAACAAAAAATGTCTATGAGGGGACGAATTGATAAACAAATCATGTCCATACAGTGGAATATGAGCCAATATAAAAGAATGACACACCCTCCCCCATGTGCACACACATACATGTGCTGGTGTGTTCACCCATGTGTACATGTGTGGAGGCCAGAAATTAACATTAAGTGCCTTCCTCTGTCATTATTTTTTTTGAGATAGGGTCTCTCACGGAACCTGCAGTTCATCAACTCAGCTGTGCTGCCTAGTCAACAGCCCGGTGATTTACCTATCTCTATGTCCCCAGGACTGGCATGACAGGCATCATATGTGCAGGACTGTTGTTTGGGTGTTGAGGATCTGAATTCAGGTCCTCATGTCTCCACGGCAAGCACATTACTGACTGAACCATCTTTTGCAGTCCCAATTTATGTTTCTTGTTGCTCTGGATAATTTGGGAAATTTTTTCCCCTGATGTAATATTGCTGTTATTTGGAGTGACTTTAAATGCTCCTCTTACAGCAACAAAAGCAACCCCATCCCAAACTGTCCTTTGTAAAATAGTCAACACTGCTAAACAGTAGCTTACCAACCAACCGTTGTCACAAGACTAGGAAAGACAAAGGCTCCACATAAAACTCTGGTTACAGGATGTGATCTATGGAAAGATTAGTTTCTACTGAGTTCCAGGAACAGGATTCCAATTGTTGAAGATATACTGTTCAAAACTTGTAGTCTATGCATCTGTTGCACAGTTTAAGGATGTAGGCTTCCTAGAAAATCATCTTGCATAATAGCAGCATGACAGGAATAGTAATAGTAAGAGAGAAATAGGAGACAGAGAATAAGCAGAAAACAAGAAAGAACAAAGTACAATGACACAGACATATGAAGATATCATAATGAATCACATCACATTGTATATTCACATTAAAGGATGTAAAAGAGCAACATGGACAAACAACTAGGTTTGACTGACATGAGTAACACTCACCTAACAAGAGTATATCTTTTTTTTTTTTGAATGCCCTGGACCACTCGCCACGACATACCCTATACTGTATCATCAATCAAATCTTAACAAAGTTGAAAAAAAATCAAAATCACTCAAAGTAAATTCTCTGGACAAAAAGGAAATTAGACTGTAAATTCATTGATGAAAATATCAAGAAAATTACAAATCACTTTTGGAAACTAAGCAACGTGGTTAAAGAATAAGAACTGAGGAAAATTGGAGAACATTTTTATCTGAACACAAGTAGGAATACATAATGTCAAAATGTATGACAGAGCTAAGCGGTGATTGGAGGAAAGTATACAGTACTGTGTGTGTGTATCAGAAGAGAAAGGCAATCACAAATCATTTTTCTACCTTAAGAAAAACAGAAAGAGAAAAATAAGCCCAAAGCAAACAAAAAAAAATTGTAGGATTAGAATTCAGTGAAATAGAAAAAAGAAAAACAAGAGCAAATAAATGAAACCCAATAAAGTTTGAAAAAAAACCCAACAAAATTTTAGTGAGGATGGTTTAGGGGAGGCTTGCAGGGAACTCAGTTGGTAAAGTGCTTGCCACACAAGTCCTGGTCAGAGGAAGATATAGAGCAAGCAGGGCCTGTTTCCTATGATTCATCAATAACCATCACTGTATCTCAACATCGTTTCTTGCACTTTGTTTAAAACTCAGACAGATCAAAAATGGTGATTGAGATATAAAACAAAGGTTCCTGTGTGTTCACAACTTTGCTGGCTTTCTTTTGGATGTGGAGAAGGTGAAGCAAGAATAGAAGCGATGGTGGAGAAATTGCCCAGAGAGAAGAACGCACACCTGAAACCCAATGATGTTTTAGTTTGGCATCATTCACAGCCTGAGGAAGGGCTTGCCTGCAAGTCTTTGGACTTATATAAGCAAGGTTCCTTAAAAATATTTTTTTCAGTCATCATAAAAGCCCTGAACAATATCACTGACTAGAACTTCTATACATCCATAAACTATGCTACTGAACAGAATTTTTCTTATTCTGCTTCTACTTTACAACTTGTGACAAGAAAGCTCCACTTCCCAAAAACTGCCTTCAAAATAAAGATTTCCAGATCATCTCTAAAAGTCAATCAGCTTTATCATTCAGGATACTGTTGTCATTTCATATTCTAGCTAACTGCAATTTGTTAAAACAAGTTTAACACATTATGAATGAAATGAAACCTATGCCTGTATAGAAGCAATCACATTTTAATTGTGAACTCAAAACATCTGATCGCTAGATATGAATAAGAAAAGATTCTAAAGACAATACTAGAGAATTTTGTAATGAGAAAGTCAATGAAAATTCTTTTCTACTTACATCATGATTAATCAACTAGTAAATCTTAATCAGAATAGGGCAAAAATAGTAAGACCATACTTTTCTCATAATAAATTATACATTATGTTCTGTAGGGACAGCTATCGTACATGAAGAAACAAAAATGTGATCATTGAGTACAGTGCAGTGCAGTACAGTGCAGTAGCACTCCTAGGGGCACCAGGCACCTCATCTTAGAACGTCATCATCTTCCTCTCCGTCATCCTCAGCTTCTAGTTGCCTTTTCTCTCCCTGATGACCACCTTCCTCTTTCTCCTTTTCCCCCTCATTAACACAATTGTCATCATCCTGAATTTCTTTTTTCTTGAAGTGTGAGGCCTATTTCTCCCTCTCCCACTTCTGAATATCTTTCATCTTCCTCTTCATCCTACTTCAGGTCTGGTGTTTCATTACCCTCCTGCCCAAAACACCTAAGTGTGTGATTTACTTCAGCAATTTAAAAGTACTTTCTCTGTAATCCTCCAGGTTTGTGACCTTACAGTTAAACAAGTCAAAACTTCAATTCTTTTAAAATTTTGCAAGGCTACTACTGCACTGAGATCTTTGATTTTGTTTTCACTCAGACTACGGTAGGTAAGGTTTAGACATTTCTCTGTCACAGCTTCCAAGTGGAAATTATATTGCTACTAAGCTCCAACTCCCCAAATTTATTTAAGCTTGGAAGTCAAGTTAATTCCACATTAACCAAACTCAGAAACTCAAGTCCTTTTAAAAGTGCCACTCAGACCTTCAGCCCCCCCCCCCCACAGTTCCTTCCCCTTCAATGACTGCCTGGAGATTAATTTGATTCTTAAAAAATTAATTTTATGTGTATGAATTTATATGTATATGCACCGTGTGCTTGAGGAGACTAGAAGAGGGTATAAGATATTCCCTAGAAAAGGGTAGTTATAGATAGTTGTGAGCCTCCATGAGGGTGCTGGGAATTAAGCTTGGATCCTCTGGAAGTTCAGTCTAGCACCTGATTGATGAGTTTTGATGCTCAGTGACACAGGGGATTCAAAAGTGTTTTTGTCTGTGCTCACATTTGCCCCACTGATGTTTCTCATTATTGTGTAGGTTTTGATTTAGCATACTTATAAGTAAAATTATATATATATATTTAATTTCATCTTAGAAATTAGAGTGTATCTTTATATTTCATATAAAAATTTTGGTTGTAAAAAAGGAACATAGATACAAAAATATTCAACAAAAATATTATCAAACCTACAAGTGTGGTGGCAACTTCTTTACACAGAAATTAAGAAGCAAAGGCAGAAGATCTCTGTGAGTTCAAGGTCAGCCTGATCGACAACAGAGTTTCAGATCAGCTAGAGCTACATAGTGAGACTCTGTCTCCCAAAACAAACAAACAAACAAAAAATAACAAATAAACTGAAGCTCTCATATTTTATTATAAATGCAAAATGGTATAACTTCTGGCAAATAATTTATTATAAATTTAAATATGCATTTACACAACTTAGAAATGCTACTCAGAGAAATAAACACTTTTAATTGTATAAAACTATATATGCTTATAGCTCTAAAATTATCAAAATTGGAAATAACTGTCTTTTAATGGGTAAGAGTATAAATGAGCTGATATATCTAGACAACAGAATACTACTTGACTTTTAAAAGGAACAAAACATGGATACACGAAAGCACTTGGATGCTACTATACTGAGTGAAAAAAACCACTCTCAGAAGGTTACATGCCACATAATTCCATTTATATAACATTTCCAAAGAGACAAAAGTGTAGTCATGGAGAATGAAGGCCACAGCTATTAGAATAGAGGGACTACCACAGGGAGATAACCTGAAAAACATTTTTTTAAAACTTATTTATTTTATATGCATTGACGTGAAGGTGTCAGATCCCCTGGAGTTACAGACAGTTACAGTTATGAGCAGCCATGTGGGTGCTGTGAATTGAACCTGGATCCTCTGGAAGAGTAGTCAGTGTTCTTAACTGCAGAGCCATCTCTCCAGTCCCCTGAAAAGGATTTTTAAAGAGGTGATCTGACATAAATATATAAATTATAGGCCTATACACCAAAAATCAAGCCAATTAATTTCTGTATTAATTTGAAAGTAAAAATATTTAAGACAACTCTGTTATTTGTATCTTAAATACACTCAAAGAATCTCTTTAGAATGGAACTGTTTTACAGTGTAACCCAGTACCATTATTTACAGTGCCTTAGGCCACTTTTTACAGAGTATTTTGAAGTTCATAGAGCATATGAAAATTTTTGACTCAAACATCAACTAAGAAAACAAATGATTTTGCTGTCTAAAATGCTCCGTACACAAAAATTAAGAGTATCTTTTGCAGTTGTCTTTACTAAGATTGAACGTGCAGATAAAACATTAACAAGTGTCTGCCAGTTTTTGTTTTGTTTTTTTAACATAAGCAGATTTGGTTTTGCTAGGACATTAATGGTGACCATAAAAGTTATTAAATATTAAATGAAAAAATTAAATGATCCATAACCAGATTATAAGTAACTCAGGTAATTTAAAACAAGTTTTATAATTCTTTAACTAAGATATTAGATTAAAATCCAGGGAATTAGGTACTATCAATGATGTTACAAAGTAGATCAAATAAACTAATGTCTACAAGTAAGAAAATATTAACTATTCATTAACTCTACAAACTTTAATAATCCAATGTAAAGCAGTCTTTACAAAACAATCTTGAATGTTTCCTGGAAGTACACTATATTTTATAATGTACCATAAACACAATCTAAATGCAACACTCAGATGAGGGCAATGATAAATGCCATACATTCAAATTAGTTAAGTTAAAAATGACTTAACTGTCCCCACATAGGTTTCCAATTCTGGCTGTAACTGCTCTGTCTCTAGATAGAAAATGGGAGGCCAGCCTGTCTGTGAAGTGGCCAGACATCTGCTGCTTCCAGATAGCTTCTCCAGCAAACTAAACAGTCTATGCAGCAGTGCCAGTGATGGCACACACCTGCATGCTCTGGATCTCTCTCACATCTTATGGAACATTGGTCCCACTGTAGCTACAATATCTGCATAGGGAACACTCTGGCTCAGTTCAATAATTCGATGTTTTTTTAAGATAAGAAAGGTATAAAATTTGGCAGCTGTTTGCTTCCGGTCATAATTTCTGCATAGCTTCATCAGACTAAAAGTTTGCATTCCCATCTTGTTGGATTCCTGGGAAAATGATTAGAAAAGAGAAAAGAAAAGGGAAAAATTATTTAGAAGTAAAGTAGTCTGAAGATGCATAATAAACAAATACTACAATTTTTGATAAGCTATGATGTCTTTAAAAAGAGTAACAGAATGACTCTAATAAGTGTGTAAAAACATAGATAACTGAGATCAAACCTGTTTTACTGAGAAAATGGACCAAAACTACTAAGTTTTATACAAATTTATGTGTTATATAAATGTTAGTTTTTAAAAAGTGATATTAACATAAATATTTCTTATGGAAAGTGCAATTAGTTTCATCTTACAAACAGAAAAAACTCAAAGGACTTTGTGAGGTTTCACATATAAAAAATAATCAGTCCATTGTGTGTCTTTGCCTTAAAGGAATTAGAGAAGCCTGTAAAATAACCTTCACAGTAAATGTGGAAGTGTGCCTGTCGGTTTCAGTGGCAGAGTAATGTAGCTATGTAAACATCTCCTGGTTGAAGTTATCACACGGTGCCTGCACATCTACTAAAAGTGAGATACAATATAGTATTAAATTGTGGAGGAACATAGCACCTTCAATGAATACTAGGATTTGGAATTAGATTCTTACAAAAGCATAGTTTTTATTTACCCAGAAATACTGGACCAAATACTTGCCAGTGTTTTATACCTATCTTATAGGCCAGTGTCTTATACCTATCTTATACTTATCTTTGGATGATTGTAAAGCACATTTAGGAATGTCAATACTAGTCTTTGACAGTCTAAAATACTTATAAATTAATGGGTAAAATACTTTATTGTACAACAATGTAGCATGAGGGCCAGCTTGTTGGGGTTTCCGTCCCGCCTGGTACCCCAACAGCCGGCAAATCCCAAAGAGAAATTACACACAGGACTCCATAAGGTTATAAACTGATTGGCCCATTAGGTCAGGCTTCTGGTTAACTCTTATAAGTTATGTTAACCCATTATCCTTATCTATGTTAGCACACGGCTCCATACCTTTCTCAGCTGGGCAGGTTACATGCTGCCTCTTCAGTGGTCTGCACAGGAATGGCTGAGAGAGAGCTTCTGCTTCCAGAATACTCCCAGTCTCTTTGCTCCACCCCTACTTCCTGTCTGGCTTTCCCGCCTATACTGCCTGCCTGGCCAATCAGCGTTTTATTAAAATATGATTGACAGAATACAGATAATTCTCCTGCACAACAAGCAACAATAAAGAAATCTAATTAATAAATATTTTGTGTTTGGATGTTTTGCCTGAATGTATGTTGTGCAACCCGTGTGCGCCTATGGAGGTCAGAAGAGGGTGTCAGATCCCCTGAAACTGGAGTTAAGATAGTTGTAGGCCACCATGTGGATAGTGGAAATCAAATCTGGGTTCTCTGCAAGAGCAAGTGCTCTTAACCACTGAGCTATCTCTGATTAAAACTACCCAATATAAATCAATATGATAAACTTGAAACAAACAAACAAAAAACCCCTCAGAGTGCATCATCATGAAATTTCAGAGCATTGGTGACAAAGAAAAGTTCTAAACATTTCCAGAAAGAAAATAAAAATCACCACAAAAGATCTTAAAATAAGATAGTTCATGGTTTCAATAACCACACAGAATCTTAGATATGTACAAAACTTTATCAGAGAAAATATTTCCAAGTTATATAGAGACCACTAATCAAACTCAAATTAAAAATAAACAGATTTTCAGGCTTTGTTTGAAAAGTTGCTATCTCCTATACACCACTTATTTGAGAAGTTATGAGATGGTACTGTCAAAAAGATTTAAAAGATCAAAGCACAAACAGACAAAGAAACTAAGAGGAGACAAGGAATTTTCCATGTTTATGATAAAGGAATGTCCCCAGACAAAAGCTGTGGAGGAGATATAAGAGTAACTATCATGAATTAGACCAAGGGTATAATGAGAGCCAAAAGGGTTATCTCTGAGAGGAAAGTGGGGAACTAATGAGTCCATGACACACAATAAGAGGCTTTATTCAATTGGTGAATAATTTGAAAAAATAATTATAGTTAGTTACATAGACACTAAGGAAATGAAATGATAAAATAAAGGGCTAGAGAGATAGCTCAGTTAAGAGCACTGGCTATTCTTGCACAGGACCAGGTTCATTCCCAGAACCCACATGAAGAGTCATAACCATCTGTAACTACAATTTCAGGTGATCCAACATCTCTTCCTTCCCAAGCATTGCATGCACATGCTGCACAGACATTTGTGCAGACAAAACAAACCTTTTCCTTAAAAAAAGATAATTAACCAAATAACACAACCATAAAATTTACATGAAAATAATTGTAATCTCACTATAAAGCTTCAGTGAAAACTTATTATTTACATAATCTTTGAAACAGAAACTGACAGTCATCCTTATCAACCTTTCTCTTCTATATTCTATATTCTAGTGATTTAGGTACATCACTCAAAACCGTTTCACTTCAGTGGACTTTTGTTGTCAACAACAAAATATAAAAAATATCTTGTTTTCATAAATATCTGGATGCTCAAATCAAAATATTATTTATTTTTTAGTATCAAAATCAAGGTCTAGGGAAATGTTCAGTAGATAAAGTGCTTGCTCTGATTTATAAGGACTGGAGTTCACATTTGCTCAGAGGCACGGGATATCCAGGGAAGCTCATTAGCTAGACTGGCTTGAATCAGTAAATTCTGGGGTGAGAGGCCTTGTCTCAGAAAACATAGTGGAGAGAGACTAAGTAAGCCATTTATGGACTACAATATACAAGCACCAGCATATACATGTATCCCCATACTAGAACATGCATATACATGTACACATACACTATATGTGCATAAACACACACAAAGTAAATAAAATAAAAATACCATCTTACCCGTAATTCATTTAATGTCTGAAATAATCGTTGATTCCATTTCTCTGTCTCAGTATTTTGTTTGCTGGCTAATGACTCCTGTTTGAATGATTAATAAATGTTTCATTTAAGCAAATTCTATTGACTGTTTACTATTCACCAAGCACTGCATTAGCTACTACAGAAGCATAACCGTAACACAGTCCTGCACCAAAAACGTCTGGTTTGATAAAGAAGAGAATGACACAAACATGAGACAATTATTGTGTAATAGAGTCCTCAAGATTAAAACATTCCATCCTACAGGAAAGCTAAGTAACCTGGCATGCATACTCCTATAAATAACCCCAATAAAACTCACTGGCTCACCAAGCTGGACTTTGTATCTATATACATTGGTCTATTGTGGGTTTCCTGTCTGGGGTAAGTAAACATGTGTAGTGTGTATCTCCAGCAAAAGTTTTGTCACACAACAAAACCTGTACAGGATTGTACCTTGCCTCCAGGCACGCCTTCTGATAAAGAGATCCAAAGCAGGAGACTGCAGTTTTAACTGGTGATGCAGTTCAGAGCTTGTGCCCTTGTGTACTTTGAAAAGTAGAGTTAGCAAAGTCACCCGCTTTTGGTTAGGATTTTCAGTCCGGCCAATCTGAACTCCAGTGACAGGAGTACACAGAAAAATTACAGAAAATCTGTTGTTGCAAGGCCTTTATATGAACTAGCTAATGACATAAGCACCCTTTAAAATGGTTTGAGAGACCTTTCAGATTTGGAAGTACTTTGTCTACATAAGGCTAACTCACTGTTATCTGATTGGTTTTCTCTCTCTCTCTCTCTCTCTCTCTCTCTCTCTCTCTCTCTCTCTCTCGCTTTTGTATTATAAAGCTGAATCACTTCTATAGATGGCTTGATATTTAGTCAAATCTCTCACAAACTAACAACTCATGAGCTGTGAGAATGGGGTCTCAGCTCAGGAAAGGTATTGATCTATTTGATAAAAACAACAGTAACAATAACAACAAGGAAAACAGAACAGACTGCAAAGGACTATGGGTGAGAAGTAGCAGTTCTGACCTATTTATTAGTTTTTCTACACTAGTTCTGATCATAGTGTGCAACAGCAAACAAAGCACTGAAACAAATTAAGAGGCTATAGAGATCACACAGTAGTTACTGCCCCTGAAGAGGACCTGGGTTAGGTTCCTAGCATCACATCAAGTAACTGACAAGTATTATAACTCCAGTTCCTGAGGATCCAATGGCCTCTTATGGCCTCTTCAATGCACATAAATTCAAGTAGGCACACATATAAGCACATAAATAAAAATAATAAATCTAAAAATTTAACACCAGGACCTAATAGGTGATTTGATAGTGTTTACTGAACAACTTTTGATAAAATACCTTTAAGTTAAAAAATGTCCTCAATACTCAGGGATAAGATTCAAAAAAGTAATTTGGGGGCTGGAGAAACGGTACTGGCTGTTCTTGCAGAAAACCTGGCTTCGGTTCCCAGTACCGACATGGTGCCTTAACTATAACTGCAGTTTCAAGAGACCAAGCACCTTCTTCTGGCTTCCTAGGTACCAGAACATATATGGTGTACTTTCATACAGATAAAACACTCAAACATATAAAAAATTTTAAAATCATAAAAAGATTTATTTGTATTGTGTGCATGTGTATATCTTTTTTTAAAAAAGGAAACTATGCTGTGGTGGCACACATCTTTAATCCTAGTACTCAGGAGGCAGATCTCTGAGTTCAAGGCCAGTCTGGTACACAGAGCTAGTTCCAGGACAGTCAGGACTACATAAAGAAACCCATCTTGAAAAATGAAAGTAAGAAAGCAAGCAAGCAAGCAAGCAAGCAAGAAACCAACCAATCAACCAACCAACCAACCAACCAACCAACCAACCAACCAACCAGCCAACCAACCAACCAGGTAGTAATGCATAGGGAGCCAGTGAATAAAATTTCTGCATTTGCTATCAAAATGTGGCTTTTTAAGCACACCGTTTTCTGATTTTAAGCATTTTCATTTTCTGATTTTAAAACTTTCGTACAGATACAGGTTTTGCATCAATGATACTGAGGAAGAGATGCTCACACTATTTTTTAAAAACTAAAACTTATGCCCTAGGTTATATCCTAATATAGTATAATTTCCAAAGATAAGAATGATTTAAAACAGTGATTCTTATTAATTTAAAACATGCCCCTAATTTTGATAAGAATAAAAGTTGCACACTTTCCTTTATTTAGAGTCTCAAAATAATTTATGTATAAGAAAAGGTTATTGGAATTCTTCATAGTTCACCAAATAATTCACAAATATCTCAGCTATTGTGTGAGCCATAGTAGCTGGGGTTATGTAGTACAAGCTTGCTTCAAACTCATGATTCTCCTGTCTGGTATGGGCCACCGAGCCCAGCTAAATATATTTCTTGAGATCATAAATTTAAATTATAAACTTATAAATAAATATGGAAATTCTGCAAACCAAATAAATAAATTTTAATTAAATAAATTAAATAACATTTAGGAAGACAACTTTTAAGAATATTCCTTTCTTCCCTATTAGTCATTCCTCCTACTTCCATGTCCTTTTTTTTTTTTTAATACACTGAGTTTAAGTAAGGTATCCCAGAGTTGGTGGGAGATATGCTAGAATAATGGAGAGTAAATATGATTACCATGTACATTCTGTATATTCATGAAATTGCCAAAATTATGTTAAATCTAAAAATAATTAAATATGAAGAAAATTTCTCAAAGACTATACATTTACCAATTCAACTGGACAATTTTCTTGGGCCAAGGAAGCATTCATTGAAGATAATTCCTCAGCAGCTGAAGAAGTCATGTCAAAGATATCCTGCTAAAGAAAATTCAGAAGTTATAGGTAATTCTGCTAGTGGTTATAATATGAACAACTCAATTTTATTAAACGATTCATTAATATAAATGATAATTTCGCAAACTAATTTAACCTATTATCTTAGGGTTTCTATTGGTGTGAAGAGACACCATGACCACAGCAACCTTTATAAATAGGAAAACATTTAATTGGGGCTGGATTACAGTCTATTACCAACCATCATGACAGGAAGCATGGTGGCAAGTAGGCAGACATGGTGCTGGAGAAGCAGCTGAGAGTTCTACAACTTGATCTGTAGGCAGCAGGAACAGAGAGTGACACACTCCTCCAATAAGGTCTCATAATAGTGCCACTCCCTATGGACCTATGGGGGTCATTTTTATTCAAACCACCACATTCCACTCCATAATATAATGCAAAATGCATTTAGTACAATTTCAAAGTTCCCACAATCTATAACAGTCTCAAACTTGTTTAAAAACTGTTCTGAGACCCATGCAATCTCTTAATGGTAATTCCATGCAAAATCAAAATGAAAAAGCATAGCATGTATTTTCAACATATAATGGCACAGGATGTACCTTACAATTCCAAAAGGGAGCAAAGTAAGGAAAGACTAAAGACTAAAAAACAGCTGGGAAAACTCCAAACTCTGCATCTCCATGTCTGATATCAAAATACTTTTCAGATCTCCAACTCATTTCAGCTTTGTGAACTGCAACACACTTCTTCCTTTTGGGTTGGTTCCACTCCCTGTTAGCAGCTTTTCTTGGAAGGTATCCTACAGCTCTGGTATCTCCAACATTTTGGGATCTCCAAGGTAATCCAAGCTTTAACTTCCTAGCTTCACACAATGGCTTCTCTAGGCCTCATTGCATGGACACTCCTGACATATGCCTGGTATTTTCTCTGCAGACCAGGCTGGACTCAAATTCAGAGAACTGCCTGCATTTGCTTCTCGAGTGCTAGAATTAAAGGAGGGCACCACTCTGCCTGGCCATGTGCTTTTCTTTAACTCCTTTTCACTTTCTTTAATTCTTTTTCACAAATTAGAAGCTTAGCTGGGTGGGGTCTTGCTCTGAGGTCACCACTCCCTTTATTCCACAGGCTTTTCTTTAATCTGTTTACACTTCCTGGTACTCCTTTTCTCCTTAAATGGTACATTTTTATATTTTTCCTTGATCACCTTTCCCTTTTTTTTTATTACAAATCTACATAAGAATGAACACTAATAACCCCACAAACAGAGTCCATATTAGGTTGTTTTGAGATTTCCTCTGCAAATGCAATTAATCCAAAACTTTTTAATTTAACCTAGGCATACTTTTTTTGGACAAGGGGCAGAAAGTAGGCGAATTTTTCACCAAAATATTACAAGAGCAGTTTCTAGGCCACATACTAAAATTCTTCTCCTCTGAAACCTCTTGAGCCAGGCCCTCACAGTTCAAATCACTCTCAGCACCACTCCCTTCCATTCTCCTACTAGGATGGCCCATTAAGCCCCAATTAAGAGTTCAAGTGCTTTTCTAATCCGAAGTACCAAAGTTCATATTCCCTCAAACGAAAGCATGGCCAGGCCTGTTACAATAACACCCAACTCCTGACATCAACTTCTGTCTTAGTTAGGGTTTCTATTGTTGCAAAGAGACACCATAACCATAACAACTCTTATAAAGGAAAATAGTTAATTGGGACTGGCTTACAGTTCAGAAGCATAGTCCATTATCATCATGGCAAGAAGAATGGCAGACATAGAACTGGAGAAGGAGCTGAAAGTTCTACATTTTGATCCACAGGCATCAGGAAGAGTGTGACACACTTCCTCCAACAAGGCCACGCCTACTCCAACAAGACCACATCCTCTAATAGCGTCACTGTCTATGGACCTATGGGGGCCATTTTTAGTCAAACCACCACAAATGATGAACCCTGCATACTACTTTTTCCTCTCTCCTCCCCACTGTAGGCTCCATGTTGGAGCCTCTACTGTTGCACTGCTGAGACTGCTTTCCTTTGAAGTATCTTGTTTAGTGGTTACTCAGGCCAGCACCAGGCTCTTGAGGCAGGAAAGAACCTGCACAGGCAAGCAGAGGAGGTGACAGTGAGGGCTGGGGCACTCATGTCCCTACCCAGGACTGTGACAGGATCACTGAAGCAACCAAAAAACAAGATCTGTATCCCCCCAGGAGCAAAAACAAAGGAAGAAGGAAAAATAGAAAAGGCCAGAAGCATTCTACTTGCCGTCTTCTCCTCCTCCCTTCACTGCTATAAGGTGTTGGTCCCTTCTTATCCTAAGCTCGGATCCCCAGCTGCCATCTCTGACCTTGAGTAAGTCAGGAGCATTTTCTATTATACTTTCCTCACTTTTTAACTTCAGCTTTAAATATTTTAGTGACTAGAAGGCATTGCTTTTTATTCTTAAGTACATATTTCTTTTCCAATATCTATGAATATTCCATATTTTAAATAATGTCAAATGTATAATTACTGTACACAAAAATTCTGTTTTATGAGATTTTAAAAGGACTGATCAGAATCAACATTTTTCTGTTCCTTTAAACTCATTGTGTATGCTCCTATACTTTACTATATTTCCTATTTCTTCACCATTTTGTTAACAAAGTAAGAACAGAAATGAAGATGAGAGCATAGAATAGTATAAACGAGTAACAGTCAAAAGAACTGGTACAGTACAAGGAGAAAAATCAATTTTTTTGCAAATAAGTACTTGATAACTGTGCTGGTATTTTCCTTCCCAAAACCATAAATGAAATAAGTTTTCCAAATAAGAATTTCAGTAGGTGCATTCTAGGAAATGTCCAAGCCCCCAAAAGTCAGCTAGCATGTATCAGTGTGCAGTATATTATCAAGCATTTAGTCAAACATGTTCTGTTTTAATGTATTCTGAAACTGTCTTTCCTCCCAGTTAATACAGTTCTGATGTGGATTAAGTGAATTTAATGAATGGTTTTCAAAATACAATGAGGAGGGCTTCTGCTTCCCAAGCTCCCCCTTCCCTGCTTTACAGGGAGTCTTTCTCACTGTGCTTCCTATGTGTGTTTCCTCACTCCTAAGAAAAACCTTTCTTCATCAGAAAAAAATTAACAATGATGATGAAACTTACTTTTATTTTTATCAATAAGACCCTAATATTTAAGTAACAAATGAGAAGATATTTTATATTATTTTTTTAAATAGGGTTTCTCTGCCCTAGCTGTTCTGGAATTCTGTAGACTAGGTTAGCCTCAAAGTCAGACATCTATCTGCCTCTGCCTCCTGAGTGCTAGGATTAAAGGTGAGCACCTCCATGCCCAAATACTATAAATTTTCCTATGTTTTCAAACAAAACTGTCCTCAAAGAAAATTTTTGTTTTCCTGTTCCTTCAGAGTGACAAAATTATTTTGTTTTGGTCATATACTTTTAGAAAGTCTTTCAAAATGAAGGTAAAGATAGTTGAGAAATTTAAAATGTTGTTCTTAGAAGAAAAATATAGGTGAATTTATGATGAGAAACAATACACAAATGTCTGGTTAGAGTTGTAGGAGACCCCACAACTCATATAATATATACAATATACAACCAGATTCAAGCACAATCACTCATTTATTATGTCATACAAAATACTGTTTCAGCATGAAACTACCTTATCTTGTGATTCACATCCTAAACTTCAGAGGAATATTGTCTTGCAGATTAAAATTAAGTTTTATCTTATAGTAATGACACTTAGAGAAACTGTTGAACAACATGAGATGAAATATGAACTACATCTGTAAGAATATGTATTAGCCTCTCAATATTACTTCACTAGAGTTGCATAAAAATATTTCAGTGATTATCTCTGGTTAACTTACCTCAGAGTTAATATTCATAGTGATATCCTGCTGAAAGTTTCCCATAGAGCCATCATTCACATCATTCCAAACCTGGGGTTGATCTAACTCTCCGTGGGAATTTGGCTCTTCTACCACTGAGGACTCTTTAAGTAAAGAAAATGTTACCAAAGTGCATTTCAAACTTGAATTGGCATATGGCTATTCAAAAAGAAAACTTCTGGCCAGTAACTTGGTATCTAATAATTTAAGTAAGGAGTGTCCAACTTTCCCAACTCTACTGAGTCTCACATAATTTATACCTTCCCTTTCCCCTCCTCTGCTTCTTTATCATTTCCACTCCCGTCCTCCTCCCATCATCCTCTGGTCATCCTCACTCACACACTCACTCACTTTCACACACTCACTCGCAGGACAACAGGAATAGTTTAAGTTCACTGTGGTGTACTATTTTGCAAATTTTAATGTCTTCAGAAATGGTCACTGGAAAAGGAAGCTTATTCACCACAGAAGTTGGTTACATTACTTTGTAACTGTCACAGCAATAATTAGCTATTATTAACATCTGTCAACTTCATTCTAGGCTGAGGGTGATATTGGCCTTAGGACAGTTGTAATATTTAAGTACGTTCTTATCACTATTTGAGTTTTAGGTTGTTTTAAAATGAAACATTATTCTGTTAGACACAAAGATTTTTCTAAGAGTTGGTGAATATTGCCTTCAGGGTGGAGGAGGTTAGAGAGAGAGAATACACATACACGCGCGCGCGCACACACACACACACACACACACAAACCCCATCTTTTGTATGTGTGTAGCCTAGGGCCTTACACATTCTAGTCAAGTACTCTCCCACTGAACTACATCACCTGGTCCTTTTAGTGTGTTTTAGCTTGAGATAGCATCTAACTAACTTGACCTAGCTGGCTCTGAACTTGCTCTGTAACCCAGGCAGGCTTTGAATTTGCAATCCTGCCTGAGTGGATGGTTATTACAAGTCTGTGACACAAGGACTGGTTTATATTTTATCTTTTCAGTGACATCTTGGGACAGAAATTAATGTGAAAAGCAGAAAAATGCTATACTAAGGTAATATTTTAAGTTTAAAATACTATTCTATAGATAGTGGTTATACTGGAAAATGCAGATTTGAGCCTAGTTTTCATTCTGAAACATAGAATTCAATTTTCGCTTACACAACATTCCCCTTGACATTAAGAGAATTAGGAAATCTTACCCAAAATGTTTTTGGTTCCCACTTCTTTCCTTTCTGACTCCTTCTGTACAAATTTTGCAAGTTTTAAGTCAGTGGACAGGAAGCATTTTGCAAACAACTGTAAAAACACATTTATATTCTTGATTTTATGTTAATAAAGCAATTCAATAAAGCACAAGCACATATGCTAAAAAGTAAAAGCCATTCATACACAATTTTTCAATCTGGGCAGAGTGGTGCACACTTTGGAGAAAAAGGCAGGTGTATCTCTATAAATTCAAGGCCAGGCTGATCTATGTAGTGAGTTACATAGCGAGATCCTGTCTTGGGAGGGAAAACCATTTATACACAATTATTAAACAAATTAAGTTTTAAAATAATGGTTTCTTTTCTTCACATGTCCAGCTATGTTGTAAATATAAACATATTTATTTAGAAACAAACATCATATCCACGCAAAAGGATGAAAACAATTACCTTTTTCAGTTCATCATGAATCAGATCCTGGGTGGCGGTTGACAGAAGTGTATCCACTCCTCCCCTCTTCTTCCACATCATCAGTCTTTGTGTGGGGGGTGCGAGGTCCAGAACCATGAGAGTGTCAACGAAGGAAGTCAGCTGCTTATGCATAGTCTTGCTACTTATCTCCTTGACGGGATCTATGAGCAACCTCCTTTTTTTGTTTTTCCTTCTCTCAGCAATGTCTAGAGGGAAACAGGCATAAATGGATGATACTCTAGGCTACTACATATCTAAGGAAAGAATATCACAAATAACCTGCAGAGTTGCACTGGGAAGAAAATCCTTCTGTTCTCTGGAAAAAAAGCTTTGTGAGGTTTTTGCAAAGTTAGAGTATCTGAGCAGTCAAAAGCTGATACATTTTTCAAAATATTGTTTGAAGGTGCTTAAGAGGGACTCTGTTCACTTGTTAAATGGGAAACTGCAGAAAAATAGCAAACAGGGAGTGGGCAGTTAAAGAATCTGGAGCTTTTCTTTTCTTTTTAAATGTGGAACACGATAATGTTTCAAAACATTAATGTATATCTCTCCAGCGTATTTCACCTCCCTGCACTGAAATTCATATATGAATTCTAAGAAGGCAGCTAATTCCACACCATGCAGAAGGCAGATGTCAAACTTTTCTTTAGTAAAGCTGAAAATGTTTTGAATTGAACTCGGTTTTTAAATTTCCGTTTTCCAAACTAAACATATGATTTTAACAGGACAAGATGTGATAAAAGAATTATATTTGACAGTGTTCATACTTTTTTCCTATTTACTGCCCAGTGCTACTATCATGCTGGCAGTCTTCTGTAACATTCTATGGATTGTTTTTATATCTCAAAGCAATTAAGATAGCAGGGTACCAAAGATAAAAATAAAAAAATGAGACCTCTTACCTAAACCATCAATTGGGTCAAGAGTAAACCCTTCTTCTTCATTTGATAATGTTTCATCTACTTTTTCATCTTCAGGTAGGCTCTGGTCATCTGAATTACCTGGTTCTACTAATAAAAGCAAAAATAGAAGCATATGACTATGCTACACATTAGAAGACAATATGAGAAATAAAGTAGAAAAATAATTGTGGAAATACTGTTAGCTGGGATGGTACATTAATTCCTAGAATAACGAACTTTAACAGAGGCAAAGAAGTTCAGGAATAAATGGCCTGGGACCCTCAACTTTTGAGTGAGTCAAATAGCATCACCCTCATTTACATATGAGACAGCTCAGGCTGGGCTACAGTCACATAGAAGTGAAAACAAAACCAAAAAGTGACTGATAAAAATGTGCTATGACAACTAAAGTATCTATGTTCTGTTGAACCATCAATTGACCCATAAAGATCCATAGCTAAGTTTTGAATGCCCAAAACTTTTTGTTTTTAATTTTGATTGTTGTGCCACAAAATAAATGCAACATCAAACATTGTGAAAACAATGTTTTATATTTTGTTTTTAATACTTAAGGAAATAATAAATAAAACAATGTTTTAATTACATTTTTAATACTTAAGAAAAAGTCTATCTTTAAGGCATCAACTCATCTGAGGTATTTTGGTAAGAATTTCAATTAAAGAAAAATAAACTCAGTTGAAAATTCATAACTTCTCTCAAACTGTACACTGATGGTCAAGTTATACAGTGTGATAATTTTTCTTCCCATACAACATATTATTTTTTTAAGATTTGAAAGTATACTTCTTGAGAAGAATAAATATTATCTACTAAAGCCAATCCTGGTTAATTACTTTTTCAGACTCTAACTTCCTGTTCTACATTTTCTAGAGTTAGATTAAGAGAATTTGAAGGACAATATTCTTCATTACAATGTTGCTGAAACTTAGAAGTTCCAAACATCAGAATCTATACATTTTCTATGCAAAAGACTTCAACATACCTATTATACTACTGGGAAGCTCAGGAGGCAGAGAAGTTTCCTTGTTTGAATATATGTCTTCTAAAAGGGTATTCTCATCTTGCAACAGATTGTCTTTAAAAACATAAATAAACACTTCTTATTAGCTAAACATTTACTAGCATTAGTTTATATAAGACATTATACTCTGACTTCTTAAATTGTTTTTACTCTCTACAGGGTCACATAACTCAATTAGAAGCGGTTGGGGTGTTGTGAAAATTTTGGCAAGAAGGAAAACCAATTAAAAATCAAAATTATTTCTGACAGTGCTCACCCATGTTTCACTTCACTGTAGCCTTGGTTCTAAATAAACAACGTGCACCTTGCATTGTGTATGCTATCATGTGCCACACAATGCCAAACACACGACCTTAAAATGTCTTGGCACAGATGAAAGATTACTGTGTGTTATGAATTGCATTGTTTTTACTATACGTACAGCATTTCCTGTTCTAAAAGAAACATGACTTAATTATAGCAAATAGAGACATTTAATATTGTATGACTAATTATTTAAATCAGTGTTCTCATCATGACAAATTCTAAAATTGAAATATTGATCAACTCTGAGAAACATTGAAAATGCTCTACACCCTGGAGTATCAAAACCTTAGCAAAGATTTAGTTTTTTAATGTAAAAGTAAGCATATTATCTCAATTTCACCAATATTTATCTTAATAAATGATAAAATTATATAGTATACCAAACAATTATGTTAGAATAAATTTATTTTATTCATTATTAGTAAACACTTGGTTTGTATGGACATTTATTTCTTAATTTTTAAAATGTACTTTTAAATTTTATGTGTACTGGGTGTTTGCTTGTATGTATATCTGTGTGCCACATGTGTGCAGTACCCACAGAAGACAGACGAGGGTCTTGGATTCCTTGGGTCTGGAGCTACAGATGGTTGTGAGCCTTAATGTGGGTGCTGGAACCAAACCCAGTCTGTCTGGAAGAACGATCAGTGCTCTTCACTGCTGAGCTATCTCTCCAACCCCTTGTATGCATATTTTACATACCTGTATACCAAGGACCACATAAGAATTTCTTGGGCAAAAGTGGGTTGTGGATAGAAAAGGTTTAAAAAGCCCTGGTTTATACAAGGGATAAACCACACTTCTTTTTTCCCACATCCCTTTGCTCTCCTCTTCCCACTCCCTTTTCTCTTTTGAGATAGGGGTTCATTAGGTAGTGAAGTAGCCTAGGACTCCTTATATAGTCCAGGCTGGCCTTAAACTCATGATTCTTCTACCTCAGCTTCCCCAGTTCTAAGATTACAGCTCTGAACTGCCATGCCTGGCTGATAACTAGACTTTTAATGAAAACTGAAAAAAAAATCTGTAAATGTATTTCATATAACTAATAATCTTTAAAATACATACTTTTGTTTTCCCAGTGTTACTCCAAAATGTTTATTTTATACTAACATTGTAATTTAAATATAAAATGCTATACTGACCTTGAAGAATATTTTACAATTTGTATTAAAGAAGGCAATGTTACCAGCATATAATCTACTACATTTTTTGAAGAGTATACTAACCTCACTTCTTTCTAAAGTTTAAGGACACAAATAAAAACAGATAGGTGTTAATAGCTTCTATAGAAATGTGTTTAAACAGATACCTATTAACTAGGCCTAGATTAAAATATTATAGACTTTGAAAACATATGTGAAAAATAATCTGACCCATAAGTACAGATATATATTTGAAAATTCAATTTGATGTAGCAAAACAGATATATTACAGTGATTTGATCAAAATAAATATTTGATATTTTATGACCAGAAAGCATACCAATCATTTCTCCTGCAGACCCTTCATCTCCAAATCCATCTCCATTGTCAAAGAACAAAGATTTTTCCTCAATGAGGCTTCCAGAACTATGTTCAACTACAAGACCACTGGAGTTCATTAATACGCTGACATCAAATAAGCTCTGTCTTCTGAGGATTTCAGGTTCATTCCCTATATAAATATATATCGTCAGTGGCAAGCTAATCATAGAAACATAAACTTTTAGAGTTAGAGGAAACTTACATCATCTAGTATAATTTATCCTTATTCTATGCGGAAAATAAAAGTTTTAAAATTATTGAATTATCCAATTGAAAACACCCAGTTAATCAGTATAGACTAGATTTCAAGTTTAATACTCTCCCAATACAACAGGAAAAAATGCCAGAGCACTCAGTAGAGTTTGTAGTTATGATATAATTTAGTCATGTCCTGAAAGGTCAAAATGCTGTAGGAGTAGACTGACTCCCTATACATTATGTAGTTCACATTCCATTTGACCAAGTATTATTTCATATCATTTTATATAGAACAGTTTATGCCTAAGAAGAATTTGGAAACTCTGCCTCTGAAACAGTAACAACAAAAACGCCCAGTGGTGGTGGCACAGACCTTTAACCCTAGCACTCAGGAGGCAGAGACAGGCAGATCTTTGGGAGTTTGAAGCCAGCCTGGTCTACAGAGCAGGTTGTAGGAAAGCCAGAGCAACAGAGAGAACCCCCCCCAAAAGGTATGTTAAAATATTAAAGAATGGGCTTATAATAATCATTCAGTAAATATTTATATAATATACCAAGAGTTGGAGATAGGACATTAAAAAAAGCATAGCCAGCTAACATTAACTGAACACTTAGTCATTAGGTTATACTGATAGTTACAGAAGATCCAAAGTCAGCTCTGGCATGTTCTGTTCAGCTTTGGATTTTAAAGTCATTATGTTCAAGATTCTGAACCCTGAAGATAAGAGGTTGGTCTTCTCTCCCAATGACCCATGTCAATTATTATACAGTAAAAAAAAGTCATGAAGTTATCACCCATATTGTACATTTGTCTATAGACCTACATCACAATGGATTAAAAACTTGCTAAATGGTATTAATGACTTTTTGAGAAAGAACTAAGAACATGTTTATATCATTCAGGGTTAGCTTTTTCCAAAAAGAAAAAGCAGCCTTGCTCAATCAGAGAATAATACTCTAGAACAGACACTACATCCTGAGTGTTGGGCATTTCAAAAGTCTGAGAATAAATTGGTTATTGTTCTGCACACTTACAATTCCAGCACTCAGGAGGCTACAACAAGTCAATCTGAGTTTCACACAAGACTGGCTTAAGTAGAGAAACTGTCATTTGTCTGTTTGTCTTTCTGTTAATCTATCTATCTATCTATCTATCTATCTATCTATCTATCTATCTATCTATCTACCCTGAGATTTCAGAGTGAAATAATCATGACCTTAAAATTTTATACTGTAATCAAGAATAGGATAGATTAATATAAACATTTCTTAAAGTTTGAGGGAGAAAAATCACATATTGGAGGAGAGGACAAAAGGCAAGAATAAACAAAATAACCTTTGATGTTGCTAGTAGGATCTCTACTTTACAGACTCAGTTAAGTCATCTGTTGAGTATACAAAGCAAATATACAGAAAAAAGTCCAGATTCAAACCTAGAACTACAGACTGGTTCTCCACTCTTCTGAATTATGCAAGATACAGAACTGTGAACAACTAAGTTGAATTGATTAGATGGTGAGGCATACACTTTAGTAGGGGAAAATGCCTATAGTAAGGCTGATAAACCGATAAAGAATGATGAGTTGGTAGAAGGCACTGAGAAGAGGAATATCAGGGGTTTGATACGGTCACAGGAACCCAAGGTGCTTAGGTAGAGGAATGATAGGTGAACAAAAATGTACTTAAAGACAATTACTCTTGCAGAAATGTGTAAAATATGGGAAGAAAATGGAGGAAGATTTTCAGGAAGGTAGTATAATACTGCAACTAATAAAGCAGACAGAAGATATGGGAGATAATTCAGATGTCTTTAAAAAAAATCAATCAGTAGCTGGGTGTGGCCACGCACGCCTCTAATCCCAGTAAGGGAGGCAGAGACAGGTGGATTTCTGTGAGTTTGTGGCCAGCCTGGTCTACAAAGTAAGTTCTAGGACAGCCATGGCTACACAAAGAAACCCTGTCTTGAAAAAAAAAACAAAAAGCAAATGCCTTTTCCAAATATATTTTAACATCTCAAAAATCACTGCATGCTTCATAATCAAGCTGTACACTATAACTGATAATTATACACTGGACAAGATATAACCCCCCAATATATATAAACTACACCAGCTGTTAATCTGGATATCTCTCCGTTGAGGGCAGAAACTACTTTCCTTTTGGGGGGCAGGGGGAAAGAAAGGGAGACAGAGTCTTACTATAAAGCCCTAGCTAGGATTATAGGCATGTGTCACCATATCAGCCCCAGAACCTACATCTTTAAATTTTAGTACTGTTCTATTCTTTTTCTAATTTTTTTTATTGATTTTATTGAGCTAGACATTTTTCTCTGCTCCTCTCCCTTCATCTCCCCTCCCCTTCAATCCTCTCCCATGGTCCCCATGCTCCCAATTAGTACTGTTCTATTCTATGAGAGCACCTGATATAGAAGTTAAAAATATGGTTGATTTTAAAAATTATAAAGAAATATGCCCTAATCGAGGTTATTAGAATCTAGACCAGAAAAAAGAGAAGAAAAAATTTGGAGATTATATTTATACATAAAAACATCCATTCTACAGATCTCTATTGTGATTATTTTCATACAAATTGCAAATATAATTGATGTTGTCTTATAATTTTGATTTCTCAAATATTCTCACCAAAACTCTCAGCTTGGAAAAGTAGATCATTGCTATATTCTTCTCTAAGTGTGATTTCCTCTGGTTTGCTTTGGTTCTGAGCAAGGGGCTCTGAAATATCAATATCACTATAGAGAAACATGAGTAGAACACTATGGTTGTACAAAATATTGGGAAAAAATTAAAATCAGCTTATCATAAAAGGATTTTTACTTTATCAGTAGTATGTTTATGCACATGAACTTTTAGACACATGTATACACAAATACTTTTCAGGTTATTCAATCCAGTGGTGGTTTTTAGTTGATAATTTACTCGAGCATTTGAACAGATGATCATTCTTGCTATGGCTTGAATGCTTGTGTACCCTCCAAGTCTAAATACTGAAATCTACTTCTCAGTTTGATGCTATTATAAGATGAGGCCTTTAGGAAGTAACCAGGTCATAAGGGTTCTGTTTTCACGAGCAGAGCTTGTGCGGCCCCACACTACCATCTTGATCCTTATACCACGTGAGGATGTAGGAAGACCAGGAAGCAAAGCCTCTGAATTACCGTATCTTGACTTTGGTCTTCCTTTGTCAATGCTAACAAGAACTGGGTAGTTTTTAAACAGATATTCATTAAACACCGTTCTAGAGTTTAGGAAGTCAAGATCAAGGTACCATGGATTTAGTGTCTAATATAGGCCTATTCTTCAACTCTGTATCCTCAGATGCTAGAAGTACAAGAAAGCTTTCTTGGGCTCTTTTATAATGTCACAGACCTCATTAAGGAGCGCTCTCTGCTTTCAAAACCTCACCACATTTAAAGGCTCCCACCTTTTATACAACCACCACGAGAATTAAGTTTCTACATGTGTACTTAGAGAAATACACACATGAATTCAGACCCAAATTATATGTTGTCCAAAACCTAATTTACTTCCTTTTTTCTCTTTCTTTAACCTATCATCTTTTAGTTATCCTGATTTCAGTAAGTGGTAGCTCCATTTTATGCCCTGTGGTGGTTTAAATAAAAATGGCCCCCATAGGCCCACAGGGAATGGCACTATTAGGAGTTGTGGCCTTGTTGGAGCAGGTGTGAACTTGTTGAAGAAGTGTGCCACTGGGGGCGGGATCTGATGTCTCAGATGCTCAAGCTTCCCACCATGGCCATAATGGACTAAACCTTTGAAACTGTAAGCCAGCCCCAATTAAATACTTTCCTTTGTAAGATGCCATGGTCATGGTGTCTCTTCACAGTAATAGAAATCCTCACTAAGATATGCTCCAAATCAAATAATCATTCTTTACTTCTTTAGGGCCATATCCAATTCATCAATATATCATGTTTACTCTGCCTTTCATAGATACCCACTGATTTGACTGCTACCATCTTAATAAAGTGAAGTTTGAGAATTGATTACATACTACTTCATATGGATTACTACAATAATCTCTCAGGTTTTCTTTTCCTTTCTTTCCCCATAATTGTGAAGTAGCCAGAGGGAGCATGCTGAGACCAAGTTAGATCTGGTCACTCCTCTACTCTTTGTTCAAAACTTGACTGTGTTTTTTTTCTCCCATCAAAATAAAAGCTCTACTGTAGCCTACAAATCCTGTCACCTGCATCTTCTGCTCCTTCTCTGACCTCATTTCTTTACTACCCAGTCCTTTCATCCTACTTCATCTCGCTTGCTTTCTTACTGTTCCTGAGCATATCCACTGCATTCTGTCTTACAGCCTTTCCACTTGTATTTTATCTGCCTTATTTTGCCATTTCCACAGAGATTTTTTTTTTACTTTACTGGGTATTTCCACTGGAACATTCTTATATGATACTGTAGGTTTGTCCCCTTAGCTCCTTTAGGTTTGTGTTCTTACTTGATCAGAAAATTCTTTCCTGATAATCCTATTGCTTGTATTAATATCTATTTATCTTCACATTGCATTTTTATTTATAATCAATCTATACTAACTAAAATATAAGATCCATTAGACTAGAAACTGTTTTATTCATTGCTATCTCTTCAATGCTTAGAACTATGTCTGGCATGGGTAAGACATTTATTTAATACATATTTATTAGATGAATATACTGTCAATACTAACATTCAATAAATATTAGACATTTTTGTTTTTGTATTTTCAAATTTTACACCACAATTTAAGCTTTTATCAACTGTACTTGTTCAATTGTTATCTAATTGAAGTTGCCACCATTAAATATGAATATGAAAACAAGAAAACAAAATGATTTACTTCATATTATAGATGTCAAAATCATGAAATTCTTCTGGTAATGTGATAGTGTTGTATGCTGCTTCAAAATTCTCTTTTGGGAGGTCAACCAGTCCTAAAAATAATGAGAAAGAGACACAATAAGCAGTGATCCTTTATGAAACATTAAACTTTCAATTAAATCTTTATCATCTTTCATGGGCTTCTCTATAGCCCCTCAGCAGTACATTTTTTATGAAGTAGACAGAATAACAGTTTCCAGAAGCAATCAAATCAGATAGTTCTCATGCTTAGAGACCTAAGCATGAATAAAGCAACTTCCTCACTACAATAAAATACAAATTTCTAAGTGGAGCTTCCGTAGCCCTACATTCTTACCATACATCATCTATAAAATTCTCCTCCACCACTATACTCCACAGATATACTAGTCTTTTTGTTCCCTGAAAAAGGCAAGCATTTTTTCACCTCGAGACATTATACCTGTAGTTCCACTTGCCTGCACAACCATTCCTTCAGTCACTACTTACGTACTTATGTACTTATGTATCATTTTTCAAGTGTGAGTTTAACTTCTACCCCCTCACAAAGGTTTTCCCTAATTAACGTATAAAATGAACTTCTCTGTTATTTTCTGTTGTAGATCTTAGTTTAGTTTCCTTTGTAACATGACCATTAATAGGTGCAGTAACACACGCCTTTAATCTCAGCATGACCATAATCTGTAATTATTATATTGTTTTTAAAACATTTTCATTATCTGAGTTCCTCATCAGACTGAAAATGAACTATATATCTTGCCTGTCCTTGTATTTTCTAAAGCTTAACATCATGTTAATCACAAAACATGAATCAGTAAATACTTGTAGGATACATAAATAATAAATGAGCAAGTAAAACAAAGTCGATATGCATATAAATCTACTCAAAGACTCTAAAACTACTTTAAATGAGAAAGATAAAAAAAGAGATTTCAGTCAGAACCCACAAATGTTGATGAAGGGATGGCATGAGAAAGGCACTAACGTAGATACTGTAAAAGTTAGGAAAATGTATATAATAAAGATAGTTTCTGTGGAGCTGGGTGGTGGTGGTGCATGCCTTTAGTGCTAGCACTTAGGAGGCAAGGCAGGTGGATCTCTGTGAGTTCAAGACCAGCCTGGTCTACAGAGTGAGTTCCAGGACAGGCTCCAAAGCTACACAGAGAAGCCCTGTTGTTTTGAAAAAACAAAAACAAAAAGTGGGGGGAACAGAAAAGAAAATGAAAATGATGTATATCTTAAAAGTAGAACAGAATTTATGTAAATTAAAAAATGTTAGAAATTGTACTTATAACATATATAAATATGTTATTGCAGAATGTCTAGGAATTTTGATAATACTTCATAATTGTCAAATAATTTAGGAGTTTCAAGAATTCTAAAAACAATTATCAGTATTTATATTTTGTCAATATATAATTTTATTCTCATAAAGGCAAAAACAGGTATGACAAATTAAATGACCCAGTAAGAATAAGTGTATTGATTTCTTACACAATCATGATGATTTTAAGTGTATTTCTTATATTAATACATAAAACATAACAAGTTTTGGAAAATTAGCTTTATGGAAACTTAAGATTCAGTCAAAATGAAGTTTATGCTCATTGTATACAGCATGCTGCTAATAAAAAGAGAGTACCCAACACAAAGATACCAAGAGAAGTCAACAGTGACACAAATTAACATTGTATGTGTACCTGGGCGAAATGTCATCTTCATCTTAAGAAATGCTTCACTGCAATCTGCCAAAAGATATTTTGCCTTCCTATTATAGATTCGAACAACTCCCAAAAGAAGGTGCCCTGAAGTTCGGAGTGCAATTTTCACCTTTGAATAATTTTTTAAAAAATGTTAGAATGATAAATATTAGGTGTGTAAACATTGTTCTTTGAAAGTTAGTGAAATCATAATTTCTCTTTGAAAAGCAAATGTTAAATTCTTACTGAAGTAAACCACCTTTTAACCTCACTATATAGAATGATTGACTTTAATTTTTGCTTATTGAGCAAAGCCATGCTTCACTTAAATGCTATATTAGAGTGCCTTTGTGCAGACAATAATCTGGGGGCGAATTAAAAGAGATAATCTGAAAAGCAAAACTGTCTTGGAAAGTATTTTAATTCTTCTACAGAAGCCATGGCTAATACGAATTATCATATTAATCAGTTACATACCTTGGGGGAGAGAATTTTTTTAATGGTTATCTCCAGATTACACTCAAACACATGTGCCTTTGTGAGTTTCTTCTCCCAGTGAGCTGCAAGCCATATTTTGGCCAATGGCCCTCGTTTACTCATAAGCACATGAGTGTAGAACATGTTGCCTATATTCCTTAACTATATTCAACAAACTAGAGAGAACAAAAACAAATGTCTTAAATTTGTTGAGAAAGCTTTTTTTGATATTCTTTTACTGTGAGCAAAAACTTATTATTAATTCTACAAAACAATACTCAAATTATCTCCTAATCCAATGTTATTAATTTTCTCATTAAAGGGATAGAAAGATGAAGAGAGGGTTAAAAGCACTGGCTGTTCCTGTAGAGGATCTAGGTTCAAATCCAGTGCCTTCTTCTAACCTTTATGGTAACCTCTGTAGGCATCAAGAATACATATGGTACACATACATACATGTAAGCTAAGTATTCATATTCAAAAAAATAAATCAAGCAAATAAATAAGTGTAATAAAAAGAAATATCACTATTTTTTAAAAAAATTAAAAACCAGGTGATGGAGGCACACACCTTTAATCCCAGCACTCAGGAGGCAGAGACAAGCAGATTTCTGTAAGTTCTAGGCAAGCCTGGTCTACAGAGGGAATTCCAGGACAAGCTCCAAAACCACAGAGAAACCTTGTCTCAAAAAACAAAACAAAACAAAATTTTCTCATTAAGCCAGGTAATGGTGGTGCATACCTTTTATCTCAGTACTCGGGGAGACAGAGGCAGATCTCTGTGAGTTTGAGGCCAGCCTGACTTACAAATTTGTTTCAAGAATAGCCAAGGCTACATAAAGAAACCCTGTCATAAAAAACAAAAACAACAACAAAAAAAAAAAGAAAGAAAGAAGAAAGGAAGGAGGAAAAAAAGAAAATCTCATTTAGAATATGATTAAAACCAAGGCTAAAAACTTGTCTAGAAACTTGTGAACCACATCCAGTTTAAATGTATTCTAACCAATGATCTCAATTTTTCTTTTATACTACATAGAATATAATTTTTCTTCTTAGTAATCTATCAAAACAGGTACATAAAGGTTTCTGGAGGGAAAAAGGAAAAGCAGAAAAGAAAGAAAAGAAAGTAGTGGACAAAAGTAAGAAACAGGTCATCTGATTTCTAACAATTAAAAATTTGATGTTGGATCACTAATTTTTATCTAGGTATGTAACCTCATTTTTCTCTTTAGGATGCTAAATATTATTAACCTTTATTATCATTTGAAAAAGGGCCTTGCTAATATACAAAGGTGATTTGGAGCTCCTGAACTTCCTGCTATTTCTTCCAAGCGCTAGAATTGCACATATGTACCCCATGCCTGGTTTTAAATATATTAATGTTGAAGGTAAAACAACAGAATTCCAAAGGGCTATAAAAAATTAAAAAAAAAGAAACTACAGAAAAAGAATCAGAAGTCAGAAAAGAAACCCCCACTGAATTTCAGTATTTTGAAATAAGGTTAATACAATTTTTTCTTAACAAAAAGACAGGAAACAAATGAATATTTCTACCGCCTGCACTACTAATGACACCATACTATTTCACAGTAAGAGGAGAGATGTCACATCACTTAGACATTTGCTTTCATATGTCATCTGAAACTGCCACCATACAAGTTTTTTTTTTTCTACCCGAAGTTTTGGTAAAAGCGAACACTGAGCCAAAATGAAGGCGAACATAAAGTCAGCCACAGAATTAATATCTGAGGTCAGCTTTGATCAATGCCCATTTCCACCGCAAGAATAAAACTAAAGGTTACACTATGTACTAAACCAAACACAATCCCTAGGGAGACACTTCGATATGGTTATGGCTTCTGCCCTGCCATGGCTCTATTGCCTTTGTCTTGGAATTAATTCCAAACCTGAGGGTTTTTTTTTGTTTTGTTTTGTTTTGTTTTGTTTCTAAACAAAAATGCTCCCAGTCTGGTTTACAAAGCAAGTTTCAGGACAGCCAAGGCGACACAGAGAACCTTTGTCTCGAACCTGATATATACATAACATACATACATACATACATACATATAAAAAATAATAAAAAAATAAAAAATACTGTCAAGCGCGAGACAATGAAAATGTATTTTTTTTCCAGCAATAGATTAAAATAATAAGAAAAAAGAGCCAAACGCTGGGATTTTACATTACGGAGACCCTGCTTTCCTGGCATGTATCCCCACTCCACCCGCGCGTTCTCCTCCAATACCCCTTCGTTCTTCACAGATTACTTCGTCACTCAGGAAGGGGGAGCAGGGGACGATTCCTGGAAACCCACCCTGCGAAGGGAAGAGAGGAAAGGGAAGACCAGGAGGTGTGGCCCGGGCAGGTGTCTAGGGGCCTTGCTAGCAAGCCGGGTGGGTAAGGGGCTGAGGCCAGGAGGAGGACAAGGGATTGAGGGGTAGGGGAGAGCGCGAGGTCAAGGGGAGGGCGAGGCCCAGTGAGAGGGCACGGGATTGAGGGAAGCGATCAGGGTTGGAGGGGCTGAGGGCCAAGCCGCAGACGGGGGCGCTGGGAGCTCTGAGGGGTCCCGGCTGTCACAGGCTCCGGGCGCGCGTGAAGCGGCAGGACCAGGTTGCTCCTCAGGAGGGCCTCAGGGCTCGGCGTCGAAGAGAACGCTGAATTGCCAGGCTGGCGCACCCCCGCCATCACCCAGCCCGCCCACCGACCCCAGCCTGCCCCGCATCGCAGGCCCCGCCCTACTGTCAGTGCGGTGTCCCAGGGCGGCGAAGCCCCGCACGACACGCGGAGGATCCCAGGCGCCGGTCTCCTGCGGCTGCCGGGCGGGCGAAGGCTACGAGGGGTCACGAGCACGTGAGGGGGCGGGGGCGTGAAGGGCGGGGCAGGAACAGGGGCGGGCAAGGCGTGAGGAGCGTGGTGTGGATGGGCGTGGCGTAAAGTGATGTGAGATGGAGCCTGAGAGGATGAGGTTCCTTGAGGCGCGAGGGGGTGGAGCTGAGTGAGGCTAGTGAAGCTAGGAGATGGGAGGGGCGTGGCCTGAGGGGGCGCGGTGTGTAGGGGGCGGGGCTGTGTGTAGGGGGCGGGGCGGAGGCGCGGTTCGGAGAGGGCGGGACGTGAGGGACGTAGGGGTTGGCCGTGAGGGGGAAAGGCGGGGGGCGGGGCGTGAGAAGGAAAAGGCCGGTGGGAGCGGGGCGTGAGGGGGCGCGGTGTGTAGGGGGCGGGGCATGAGGGGCTCGGTTCGGTGGGGGCGGGACGTGAAGGGCACGTAGTGCAGGGGCGGGGCGTGCGGGGAAAGGCTGGAGGGGGCGGGGCTTGAGAGGGCGCGGTGTGGAGGGGTAGTGGTGTGAGGAGGCGGGGCGTGAGAAAATGGAACATGGAGTAAGAGAGGTGGAGACTGCAGGAGCAGGTCAAGTGATGCTGAGAGACTCAGGTCTACAGGGTGGCTGGAAGGCTGAGCGGAGGTGTGAGGAGTGGGCATCCGACCTAGTCCAGGATCAGTGAGTTCGTGGCCAGCCTGATCTGCTTTATCAGGACTACATGCAGATACTCTGCCTCAAAACAAACAAACAAACAAACAAATAAACACAACCAGATCTCTGACAAAAGTCCAAGGGTAGATAGAGCAGGGACAGGTATGGGGGCCCTATGGCCTTACTGAGAAAGGTAAGAGTTCTCTGAACTTCCTTAGGCTGTGACTCGTCGCTTCCACTCACGAGCTCGTGCTGCAGAACTCTCTCTAGAGAAGACCACTCAAAACACCATCTATGAGCCAATTCAAAATCTTTATTCCAGCCTGTTGGTGGCTGCACCTCGGTATTTGGGACCCAAGGGCAGCCCCGAACCTTTCCGGGGTCCATATTTAAGCAAGGAAACCACATTCTGGCTGGAAAGTCCTTAAGGTTCCCTTCCTGCACCTGCAAGCAGACAGTTTCAAAAACTAAAATAAGTGATTAGCAAAAATAGTGAGGTCGGGCTGACCATTGCAAAGAGACCACATCTTTGCTTTGTTTTTCTTCCCGGAATTGTTTTTCTTAAGATGTCTCTTACAGTTAGTTATTGGCACTCTACTCAGCAAGACCAAGGCCATCTGAGGTAACAAAATGGAGTCAGCACAGTTAATTTGCCACTCTTGTCACACTCGAGGTCCCTGCAGAAAATGACATCATCCTTTTGATCCTCAGTTTGTCTCATCTGTAAAATGGAAAAGTACCGACACCAAACAATATTGCAAAACAAAGTTGAGATGATGTATTAAAGGATCCACAGTCATAAGTGCTTAATGCATACTGGCTATTATTACTATTATAATCTAAAGGATCATTCACATTGACTCACCCTCTCCTCAATTTTGTTAGCAGGAAACATTTTCAGCCTGAATTATAACTTTTAATAGCTAAAGCCAGTTGCTTGAATCCGAGGAAAACCGTGTCGGAACATAATGATCTAATGCTAATTTAATTCTCTTGAGCTTCATAATAAATATCAATAATATATATTGAAACAATGATATCCAGTATGAGGTTATAAACATGGTGCAGGCTCCTTCCTGGAGGAGCAGGCTGCCCCGTGTATAAACAACCACACAGAAGTTACGAGTTTTCCTTTTTGTGAAATAAGGAAATCTGTAAGAGAGGAAACAAAATTTGTCTAAGGTCACATCATGAGGAATGGTATAAACAGGGTTCACATTCAAGTGTGGCTCCTATTTCCTACCTTGGGATTGATGTTACAGCCATCACCCAAGCAAATTGTTGGGGGACATCACTGATGTACCTCCACCACCATGGCCAGGTGTTTCTGCAAGCTTTGTGGGAATCATATGTAAGTGTAATCCATTAAGATCAATGTCTTTTCCACTCCAGTTCCCTGTCACACAATGTTGGCGAAACAAAAACTGTGATAATACATCAGGAATGTGTACACAGGGCAGGAAACAAGGTTGGATGTTGCACTAATCCTAATTAGTCTTAATAATAAAAACTCTAAGTCAGCTATCAGTGGGTGAAAGCCAAAGGATCAGAGAAGCAGTGGGGCAGCCACTAGAGCTCTTACCTCTACCAGTGCTCAGACCACAGGGGCGATCCTGTCCTCAGACTGCAAGCTCAGACTGACTGGCTCAGACTGCACTGAGCTCCTGTCTCCTCCCACCTTTTATTCCTCTCTCCACCAAACCATATAAGTCCTGTTTCCACCTCCCTAGTGCTGGGATTAAAGGTGTATGATCCCAAGTGCTGGGATCACCTTTGTATGAGCTCTGTTTCTTTTTTAGACAGGATCAATTTTGTGTGACCCTGTGTGGCCGTGAACTAAAGGAGATCCATCTGTCCCCCAAGTCATGATATTAAAGGTGTGTGCCACCACTGCCTGGCGTCTAGTGGCTTAGCGTTGCTCTGATTTTCAAGTAAGCTTTATTTGTTAAATCAGAAACAAAATATCACTACGGTTGGAAGCTAGTCCATGGAAAAGGCTTCTCATCATCAGACACAATAACTTAAACAGAAGATTTGGCTCTCACA